TGAACAATAAGCCCTTGTCAAATCCTTCGACACCTCTCCAGCCTTCCTTTTCTTTCTTGTCCCTCTCTTTCTTTATTACTCTTTTCTTTCATATATCTTCTTCTAAAACAGTACAATGGTACGTAACACGTAATATCCGGGTTTCAGCATGTGAAAATAGTCAAACTGGGTTGGGGGTTTTTTTGGGGTTTTTTTTGAATTTGTTTGCTTCTCAACTTCAATGCATACAATATTTTTCTATGTATCTTGTTTCAAACTTATCAAGAAAATAATTGTTTTTCTGCATTGGTTCCCAAATCGATGTAATAATATGAGAATGTTAAAAAAATGTAAAGACAAACAAAAAACTTGTGTGAAAATTAAGAATGTGAGACTGAAATATGATGTGTTATGTAAAATAAAAAAGAATAAAATCAAAAATGAGAAAAAAAGCAAATCAAGATATTGTGTCTTTTGGCATACGTATTTTAGAGTAATTCAGATTATTTAATACAGTTTCTGGGCAATTGATATAACATTATTTGAACTCAGTTGATTTTTACTATAAAACAGTATATATTTTACAACTCAATTCCCTTTGCTATTGATGTATGTATACATATTTTAACAATGTTCTTTTAGTTTGGTGTATTCATTTTTGTGAGTGTCCATTTTCAAAGTCCTGTATGGCCCTGAATGACACCCCTGCAGGTCGTGGATTGAGGAAAGCATTCACCTACTTGATCTATATATTTACCTCTTCTTCTAACTTGAATGTTCGCCAAGCTGAGGAAAGCATTGGGTTCTGTCCCCATGCCAGGATATACCAAAGTCCTTTTGGGGGGTTGTTGCTGTGTTGGGTACCATCGGCATGGATATCAAAATTGTATTGCTATAAATAGAACAGGGTTTTTCATTAACTAGATTCCTTTTTATCTTTTATCCTAGCACGATTGTTTAACATTATCTTCATCTGGTTACAATGATAACTCTGTGTAATTATGGTCTTTTTTAAATATCTATACAACTATTTTTTTCAAAATCGCACTAATAACTCCAGAGACACGAGCTCATGGTTGATGAAGGCACTATATAAGAGGAGCCTTAGAGGACGTCGCAATAAAAGGAAGGATAAAGAGGAAAGAAAGGTTAAGACATATCCCCCCCC